CTTCAAAGGGAAGGGAATATTGAAGTGTTCTAAATAGGTCATGAGTGTTCCTTTGAAAGTATATTTGAAGAAAAAGGCTTTAAAACATAAGTTAAAGACGAATGTGTCTTTCACTTAACCCACAAATCAACTAAGGACAGAAGTCTATATTAAAAACTTTTAAAAAATATTATTTTTTTAATCATGGTTCAAGTTGAAAAATGACATAATGGTAATGCCAGTACACTTTCTGATCTGCACTACTGACAACTGTTATCTTACACAAACAAACAAATAAATATGGATGTTTATATCTTACACAGAAAAAAAAAGTTAGCTTAAAATGTGCTTTACAGTATGTGGCAGCATCTAAATTTAGTAAAAAATATTATTTTACATCAGTGAGTCAGACCTGACTACATGAGGTATATAATAATTGGATCAGATAGAAATAGCTTCTCCGTAACAATTTACAGTATATAAGTAAATTATGCTGCACAGTTACTAGTCGGTTTTCTTGGCTGTATTGGCAAAAACATTGACAAGTTTAACTGATAGATTTTTCAGATAGTGTCTGAACTCTGCCAGTTGAAATATTTCATGTCTTTATTTTTTTTGGAGGAGACCAGGAGTACAAAACAAAGTTTTCCGGACAAAGAAACTCCGAATAGGACTCACTATAAATACACAGACACCAATGGGACACATCTGGGAGCAAATTAACTAATTAAACAAACACAGCTGGAACCAAATTCATACAACGAGGAGAGGAAGGACCAAATAAGGAAAACAGGAACTAAACGTGACAGATCGCCCCCCTCCTGGATAGCGCGTCCAGTGCCGTAACAGTACCATCAGGGAGGGGGGGGGGCGGGTGCAGGACTGGAACAGGGTGGAGACAAGGAGAGCCTCCAGGGCGGATCAGGGAGTCATGGTGGAGCAGGGGACTCCCATGGCAGATCCTCCGTGGCCTTAGCTGGCTCGGCCACAGGTATATGCCCCCCCCCCCAAATGTTTCTTGGGGAAATCTAGGAATCCTGTGGGGTGCTCTGGAGGAGCGGGCACTAGATGGTGCTCTAGAAAGCGCTTACGAGGAGCGGGCACTGGAGCGAGCTCTGGGGCTGGAGCTCTCCCTGGGCTTGACTGGGGATCAGGAGCCCTCCCGGGGCTTGACTGGGGATCAGGAGCCCTCCGTCGGCTATACTCGGGAACAGGAGCCCTTCCTGGGCCGAACTGGGGATCAGGAGTCCTTCCTGGGCCTAACTCGGGATCAGGAGCCTTTCCTGGGCTGAACTGGGGATCAGGGTAGCGCTTACGTGGTGCTGGCACTGGAGCGAGCTCTGGGGCTGGAGGCGACACTGGAGCGAGCTCTGGAAGGCGCTTACGAGGAGCAGGCACTGGGGCTGGAATCGACACTGGGGCCTCATGAACGCATGGGGGCTTGCCATATTAATGTTCGTTGGGCTTGCCATATTAACGGGCGGTGAACTACAGTAGGCCACGGACGGCGGGCTGGTTCTGACTCGGGGCAGGACACTCTCCAGACACCGGAGGATTCCTTCCCTCCAGCTCAGTCCCGTGGTGTCTGGGAGGTCCACGGGGCGATGGTAGTCGGCCCCGAGCCAGAACAGAGAATAAATGGTGGCGTCATCGAGGGCCGTAGCTGCGGTGAGCCTGCAGAACTCCCAGGAATACTTGACAAAGGGGAGATCTAGGCGAGCTAAGGCGAAGAACCGAACGGCAATTTCCATAGCCGCGGGGAAAACAAGGAAAACAAAAAGCTTTTCAAAAAGGTGGAAAAAACAAATGCGAGGAAAAGTCGCCGCTCACTTTTTGTGTGGTCCGGAATTCTGTCACGGGTCGCTACTGTGAGGAGCACGGAGCGAGGAACGAGGAGACCAGGAGTACAAAACAAAGGGGTTTAATATTCTCTTCAGGAAATCACACGTAGCACAAGAAGGGGACATAAACAATTCCGGACAAAGAAACTCAGAACAGGACTCACTATAAATACACAGACACCAATGGGACACACCTGGGAGCAAATTAACTAATTAAACAAACACAGCTGGAACCAAATTCATACAAAAAGGACTGGAAGGACCAAATAAGGAAAACAGGAACTAAACGGGAACATACACGTGACAGAATCATATAACTTTAAATTAATTAAGGTTTTTTGGCCTTTTTTACACATTGTGTTTGTAATAAAAAGACAATAATAACAACATACCGTAACTTAGTCAAATTCATTACCATTTTTAATACTAATAACGTGACCTACTTTGCTATTAAACTACACTGACAATGTGTTGCATACTGTGTAGTTTTATTTCTGTTTTGTCAGGCTACCATGAGGATCAAGTTTGTCAGACTGTTAACAGTGAAAGTTCCCAGTGACCTTTGCACAAGAGCTGTTAGCGAAGTGCATAATTTGTTCGATGTTAAAATACACTGACAACACCAAAGGTTGATTCACTGTACACCAATATTGGCTCAACCAATTAGAGTTTAGGGGCGGGACTATCTGTTTTTTAGGGGGGAAATTTGTTTATCATCATTATTATTTTTTTTTTCAATTTAATTTAGTCATCCTAGTAGAAAATAAATACACATAACCTTTAACCAAAAGATCTTAAGATTAATTGTCAAAATAATGCCTACTGACAGTTGGTATATTCACTGTGCTCAGATGCATCGCTACATGCTGACAGAATTAAATCCTCAGAAAATATTATCTTCTAAGTCAGATGCCAGAATTGGCCAGGTCGAAGAACTCAGAATTACTGTGACTGGAAAAGTGTGCTAAATTCATGTTAAATGTGGAAAAGGAAACCTAAAATTCCTCTACTGTCAAGAGATGCTTCCTTTCTTTCTTTCTTTTTTTTCTTTTTTTAATAAACCCAATCACCCAATTGGCTTTGAGGAAAGAGCTTGATCCTGTTATTGGCCCAAATATGTCTTCTAGCCATACCTCCTCATGAAACTTTGGGTTCTTGGAGCTGACAGCATTCAGAGATAAGTTTTTACAAATGAGGCACAGAAGGGAGTATAACTTTTGAAGCATTTGACTTTAGATTTTTTAAATAGCTTTTTTAACACAACCTTTCTGGCCTCCGGTAATGATTAGATGAAGATGATGAAGGATGTTTAAACATTGCGGAGATATTTCTACACTGTTTAATGCTGTTGAGCACAAGAAATCACACATGCACACACGCTCTCTACAGCTACTATTACAGTACATTTCAATCTATAGAGTTCTTGCCAAAATAAAATAAGTAAGCAGATATTATATCACAGGAGATAAAAGTCAGGGAGAGTTAAGGGAAAGTAAATGAGAACATGGATACATAAGTATGGAGAAGGAGCAAAATCATTAAAAGGAAAAAATAGAATGAAGTAAAGACAACGATTAATGCTTTTCAGTTCTTCTCAGCAGCCAGAGTCTTGTTTCATAATAAGCACAATTTATTCACAGTGAACTTCCTTTTTTTTATTAATCATGCAGAAACACAGTATAGAAGTGTTTATGTTCACAGTGGCCCCATTGTCACAATTGTTTCTAATCCATAATTAAGAAATAAATGTAGATTGCTAAATGTGTGTGATGTGACTTTACGAACCGTCGATTATTTGAATTTCCAAGGAATTTCTTTTTATACTCTTTTAAAATCTAGTTATATATCTCTACGAGGTCCAATGTGTTCCTTGCAGATTAACTGGTTCTGAAAAGATTTCCTGATGACAACAATGTGATTTTTTTTTATCTTGCTGTTAAGACTTTTCTCAGCAAATCAATTCTTCAAAACTTCACTCTGTTCACTTTTTGAAGATGAACACATTTTTAGTTTTGATGTGTGTGTAGATTTTTATACTGACCACCCCCTCCAACCACAAGTATGACAATACCTCAGCAGCATCCACAAATTTCTCTATTCCACTCTCTTTCTGATTTGTACTCTCAGTGGTCAATCTCAATGGTCTCAGTGCACAACTGAATGGACATTTACCACAAGAGCTCTGAGGCAATTTTGACAAACCGTTCTTCTGTCTGAATTGCTCAAATACTTGAGGAAATAAAAGAATGCTGCGGCAATTCGATTTCTGGGGCACGTTTTTATGCTTTGACTTGTTAGTGTTATCAGTCACTCAAGTAAGTTGCATTAATTGCTATTTGTTTAAACTTCACTACTAAATCAAGGCTATTAAGGCAAACAGTTAATCACCTTGATACAATGTTTCTCCCTTATAGACATCCAGACAGATGTATTTGCATTTTCTGAGAGGATCATTTTTTAAAAGACATCATATAGCTTTACTATTCAACATTGTCTGCAAACTGATTCAGCCGCAGAAAGAAATACTCCACACAGTTGTCTTTGTTGAAATCGTATGAAATGCTGCATTGGAAAGGCAACGGTCCTCTTTTCTATGGGCACAGAGGGGTGCACAGGGAGCAAAAGACCTTTATGACAAAAGGTCAATGGGTGTACTCAAGTCTCACTGACAATGTGCCTCAGCAAGCAAAACCCAACTATTCAGCTGAATCACTAAAAGATGCTCTGATGTTGAGGTATTATGCATTCTAGAATGAAAGTTCATCTTTATAGAAAATTTAATATATTAAGGTATATTTTAATTCAGTGTCATCATATAAGGCAGCAAAAAGAAGCTGTAAAATTTTCAGTGGGTTATTTCTGCATTCCAGTTTGTCAAGAAAATCCTTCCTAAAACTGATATTTGTAAAACAAACAAGTATTGTATAAGCACTGCATGATGCATTGTTACTGTATATATATAGTGCAATGGCATTGTATATTGAAGCAGATATTTTCATAAATGAAAACTGTATCAGGAAGCATTGTTTTAATATAATGCAATGGCTTTGACACAGTATAAGCACGTTATGTGTCACACTGACAGCTTTGAATGACGCACTGAAGTTATCCGAATGACAAATAAGTGAATGTGCGCAGCTGAACACATGCGGTGGAGAGCGGCGTTAAGCACGGACTTACCCGAGGACCATTCGACTTCTGCGCTGAGGCTGGTGGCAGGCACATCATCATCAGTAGCGTGAGGGAATACATAAATACAAAAAGGACCAGGTTGTGGCAGTACATTCTGTCTGATGTTGAAGTGTTAAAACAACTGACAGCCTACGGACAAGATTAAGTTAAGAATTGGCAGCGGTCCCAAAATTGCAGGAAATTCCAAAAGTTTGTTTCCAAATAAATTCGTCCTCAGCGGGCTTCTTCTTTACGCGTGTGCATTTTCATAGTGCCGGAGAGTACGCAGACAAGATGATGAAAATCGTAATGATGCACTCTTTCCACTGCGTGGGATGTACTGTCCTTTCCAAAGCTACAGGTTGAATAGTTTGCCTTACACTTTGGGACGCGTTTAAAACCTAAGGAGGTGGGATTTTACGACGTGATTGACAGTGGGGACGTCCAATGACAGTGCACTAAAACAGGGTGGGGGCCCTGGGGGGGGGTGCAAAAGTCCGCGGATTAATCATCAGTCCACTTGGTTACCGCAAGCGTAATGAAAGACAAAGCTCTACGACTTTCTTTAACCCAACACTCCTACGAAACATTTTACAACTTATTTATTTTCATGGGTGTTTAATTGGGAGACTAGGGCAAGCAGTTAAAATTTTATATTATTCCTATTATTATTAGGCTACTATTATAAATGCAATTTCATTTCAGTTTCATGGTTCGACAAGCAATTGTTCTTTCGTTTAAATATTCATCTGAAAGCCCACAATATATATATTTTTTTTTAAATATAGACATGTTATAGATTTTTGTTACACTTTATTTTAAGGTGCCCTTGTTACAGTGTAATTGTATTTAGGTACCGAGTAATATTAATTAAGTACATGTACTTACTATATGGTTAGGGTTAGGATCAGGGTTTGGCTTAGTGTTACTTGCATGTAATTATGCATAATTTATTGTTATTATAATAGTAAGTACATGTAACGTGTAAAAAGGACACCTTAAAATAAAGTGTTACCTTTTAATCTAATCAAGGTTTCTTGTCAAATCAAGTGACAAGAAACAGCAGGTTCTCATTGTGTCAACTAACCCCACCAATGGTTTTTATTTCACTTTATTTTTTTTTATTCTTATATTTATATATATATATTTTTTTTTTTTTTACAATGGTGCATATTTTTATTTTATATTCTAATTTATTACATTATATTATCATATATTATATTTTATTTATTATATTATTATATTATATGTTTGTAACCAAGACATTATTTATTTACACTTCTAAACAAACAAACAAATAAATAAATAAATCAACAAATAAATAAACAAATTCATACTAGTGAGAAATATTCTCTAGACAAGTAAAAATTCATTACACTTTATGTCTGGAAGTATAACATGATTATTAGCTAACATTGTTTGCCGTCCCATTCATTCATTTATTCATGTATTTATTTATTTATTGAGGGAGTGTAAAATGATAGATAGATAGATAGATAGATAGATAGATAGATAGATAGATAGATAGATAGATAGATAGATAGATAGATAGACAGATAGATAGATAGATAGATAGATAGATAGATAGATAGATAGATAGATAGATAGATAGATAGATAGATAGATAGATAGATAGAAAATTAAAAATTGATCCACTTTCCTAGCTTCTCAAAAATTGTATTATTCTACCTTTTAATGAAAGGCATTTTAAGGAAAAAAGGAGAGAAAGAGAGGCTATGAGAAGCAGGGCTCAGTGATGATTCTGTGGATGTACCTTGATGTGCCGTTAGGTTTCCATTTGAATCTCTCCCCAGGGTTCGGTCAGGCTGCAGCGCTCCACACCACGCCAGCTGGTCTCTGCCCGGCCGGGACTGTGTGAAGTTCTTCTGGGGGAAGGGAGGGGTGAGGGGGGACAGGAGTTTCTAATGGAATGTTAACGAGATCAATTTATGTCCTGTATCCACTTTCCTCCTTCCCGCTCCTTTAACCACGTACAAAACAAAGCCGCTTTCTGGCGTGTGAAAAAAAAATTTGTTGTTGGAGAAACGTTGACCAACACAGACGGCTGTTGTCACTTGGCTGGACTTGAAACAAATGTTTGACAAGGGCCAGAGAGAAAGAAGAGGGCAAACAAGCTGAAAAGAGCTGTGCTGCCCAATTATCACACCGACCCTTTCCACAGATGCTCAGTGGCGGTTCACTGTCTGTTTATAGCAAGCAAAGCCGACAGAAAATTAGCAGGTGTCTGTAGACAAGACCAGCCAGACTAAACTCGCGGGCACCCCGTCGACTCCAACGCAATTATTGCCAGGCTATGCACATTTCGTGGCTTTAATCAACACATCAGTACACCGGAGAGGTCTCTCCCCCCACCCTTATCTTATTATGATGTCTAAGATAGCCATGACAGGCCCGCTTCACGTTAAGTGTCCTTAATACCTTTGTACTTTAAATTGTGTGGTTCAAACTGCTGTTAAACCCATTTACAGCTTTTATAATTAGACATCTGGACCCAGCTTTATTGTGGTTTTACCAGCTTTTAGAGAAGGTAAAGTTTCGACTCTAGTCCTGAGAGATTCCTTCAGCTAATGTCTTTGACAGCAATTGTCTTCTTCAAGGCATACATATCCTCACCAGATGTCTAATTAAACGATGACATATTTTACTATAGATGCATTTCTTTTTTTCTATTCAGAAATGTTTGGTACTCTGAGTGTCAAAAAATATATTATTTATTTATTTAAGTGCATATTAAAGGAACATTTCGTGTTCTGTACAACTTAAGCTCAGATGGCAGCAATTGTGGCATAACTGCATAAAGTCTACCTCCACACAAAAATGGTTACATTTTAATTTAAGGTGTCCATTTTACAGTATAATTACATACTGCACAATATTAATTTAAAAATATTACTTAACATACAGTATTCTTACTATAGGGTTTGTTTTAGGTTAGGTTAGTTTGTTTTAAGATTAGTTGCATGTTAGGGTTAGGGTTAGGTCTTGAATATTGAGTCAGGTCTAAAATAATAATAATTAAAGTAACAACAACATAATAATAATGATAATAATAATAATAATAATAATAACAACATAATAATAATGATAATAATAATAATAATAATAATAATAATAACATAATAATAATGATAATAATAATAATAATAATAATACAATTAATAATAATAATAATAATAATAATAATAATAACCCTTTTTGGCAGTATTTTTAAAAAAGTGAGCACTTTTCCATTTTCACTGGCCCCATTCCCTTCAGTTTTAAGTGCGTCACAATATTTATTTTAATAGGATGTTATTTATTTGATAATGAACACTATGCCACAAATGCTGTCGATTGAGCTTAACCTGTAATAATTCTTTAATTTTATAAAATTACAAAATTAATGGGTAACACAATTATTTTAAGGTGATGTAGTTACACATTACATACTGACTTACATATTGACTTTTAATAGCAGTAAATTATGTATAATTACAAGCCAATAACCCTAAGCATAACCAGTTAGTACATGTAGTTAATTAATATTATCAGTACTTATTTGTGTAATAACACTGTAACAAAGTCACCAAATAAAGTGTAATCAGTTAATCTAAATATATAATGTGAATAGCTGACATCTTGTTTTTGAATGAGTTGGATGAGAAGCTTTGAAGTTCACACTGAAATCTCATACTCGTGATTGCAGATTTCTTGGAAAATATGTCCCGAAACTCCGAGGAAGAGAATGTGTTCTTTTTCTCAGGAGCAAAACCTAAAGCAGAAGTCTCCATTTGGTCTCAGTGTAATCTCAATGGAAAACATTTCTCAGATCTAATTTGGTATTTCACATCGCTACAGGTGTGTGTGTATTCCTAGTCACTCTGTTGGTGTCTTCGTACTTCAAGATGAAACATTGTGAGTGTAGGGACTCATATAACAAGACATTTCAGATCTGAGGATTGCTCAATACATCTTTGTCCATATTTCTCATGCACAAGTGCCTGTTTGACCTAATCGTGGCAGAATGAAGAAAAGACATGGACAGAGAGAGGACATCAAACAAGAGAATGCGAGGTCAGATGCAGAGCCCTTTCACTTCAAAGTCCCCCATCTGGCTTTCATTTGTTGAATTCCATGTCTTTTACATGTACTGGCTGCAATTTTCACAAGCTCCCGTATCTGGAGAACTTGAAGTCATGTGATTCCAGGCCTGGCCAAAGAGTTCAGATGGTCCAGTCACTGACTTTATTTTATTTTTTTACACCTTCTTTGAGGTCATCTTTGAAGGATACCTCTCAACACACACACACACAAATATCAATCAATCAATCTTTATCCTTCAACCACCTCTTCTGATAAGCGAAGAGTGACTGAGACTCCAAAAAGGAGAACGTTGAGAGGAAAGCGGGGTGTGAAAAGAACCATTGATAGAGTGTCCAACGAGTAGTGTGTCCAACACCTGCACCGCCTATTCACCCAAGTGTTTACACACTGTCATCCACAATTAATGGCTCTCAGGGGTAGGGCTGCCTGCCCTCTGCTGGGGCCCCAGACTCTTCCTGGGCCCTTATGAGTGCCTAATTGAGCATACCACCCTCCTGATTGAATTAACAGCTTGGTCCCAGGGACCTTCACCCCACCGGAGAGGGGTGCCAGCCCGATGGAGGAGGGGGGGAAGTAGCTAGGGGTCGAGAGCGCAGAGTTGTCAAAATGTCAGCAAAGCGTGGCCCTTGCTGTTGGCAAAACCAAGCTAGAAATGTGAACTGGGGGCATTCAGAGGTCCCGGTCTTCGCAAGGACAGGCCTGCCAGGTGGACGCTGGGTCCTAAGTCTGGATGTTGTTAATTCTATGGCCTGCATGGTATTATTTTTCTAGACAGGTGAACAATGTGTCAAATGGTGGGAAAAATAAGTAAGTAAATAAATAAGTTTAATATTTTTTACATTTTGTATAAAAAAAAATATATATATTTTTTTGCAATCAACATTATATTCATAGCAATTATTTTGTGTTGAACTTTATACACACTTTCAATGCATAAAGGAAAATGGTTGCGTTATGACAAATTCATTTTTAAAAGTACAAATATTCCATGTATTTTTGCAATTGATACGAGCTGCAAAGCATAAAAGCAGCATAATAATAAAAAAAATAATATATAATTCCAAAATAATGAAATACTTTTTTATATTAAATTCTATATTTCATACATCATGTCACACCAAGTAGCATGCCAACTTTTCAAAAGTATTTCATGTCATGTACTAATAAAGTAAAGGCAGTACAACTAATATGTTGCCTGATTTACCCTCATACTTTAAAATAAATTAATACTTTTTTGAATTTAATCAAA